TGGTATATTTACTTCTAAAGTTTTCCCCCCGCTTTGAAACTTGTGTTGTTTGCTTCATTTACTATGTTCTACTTTTTGGGGTTTGTCCAAAAAAAACATTACATTTGTTTGTTTTTAAGGTTATGCTGCTTATAGTGTGTTCTTCCCCAACACATTTACTGAATTTGCTGGTTGACTTGACCCTCTCTTTGTCTCCATTGAGGTTTTTGAGATACAAAAGTGTTAGAATTACTACATTTTCTGTTATGAATTTGTACATTGGTTGTTAAGGGCAAGTTTTGTTTGCAGCTATTGAAACTGTGTGGACCACCTGTTGGGGTCTTAAGTTTTCCTCCTATTTTTAGAATAGGCGTTTGTGGAAGACTTCAACTTGTTTGCACTTTTTCTTTCTCTTTTAATTGATTTCATTACGTTTTATTGCTTCTCAATGACTGAAGCTTTTACTTGCATGAAATGGTGGTTTTTTCCATGTAAGTTTAGGTTAAGCTTTGGTACAATATTTACTATGTTCTACTTTTTGGGGTTTGTAAAAAAACATTACTTTCGTCTAATAATGGAGCAGCGTTGCTTTCCATGCCATGCAGGTAAATTTTGCTGCGTTGGGGACCGGGATGAATGATGAGTCATTATTAGACCAATAATGAAGCAAGAAATGTTATAAAATAGGGGAGCTGCAGCGGGAAATGGAGCATTTCAGTCCATGCATGCATGAGTTCTCGGTTGTTATAAAGTATATATGTAGTAGAAAAAAAAATGAAGCATTTAGTAATTGTAGTATAACATTTTTTATTATAATGACGAAAAGTAATACTTATTATAATGACAAAAAATAATGATACTATTAATTATCCATTAATAATTCAGGTAGGTTGATAGTTATTAATTATCCATTAATAATACGAGTAGGTTGGTGGTTGGTTTGTTGACGCTATATTTTAATTAATATGATTAATATCAATATTTGAATGAATGTGATGAATATTAATTCAACTTAAAATTTATTAATTCAAACATATAAAGCATTTACGACTCCTGTCGGTGTCGGAGTGTTGTTGAATAATAATGCTGAGGCATACGTCGGTTTCGTTGTGGTCATTGCGGTTGTTCAAGAGTTTGTTCATCACAACCAACATGCTCATTCATCGAGGGCATATGATCTGGTGTTGTAAATACATGCCCACACCACTATGCTCTCTCACCTGATGACAAAAACTCGTATTTGACATCATAGATGTCATATGATCAAAATCATATGTTATTAGAATTAATTCACCGTTCTCAATTAAAATATATTATTCGATCATAATACTAGTGCTCCCAAATGACTAGAAATGTGTCGACCATCTAGCTTCAAAAGAACATTTTCTTCTGTCATGCTTCAACAAATCTATAAAAAAAAATATTTCAATAATTAAATAAAATTTAAACAAAAAATATGTTAAATCAAAATAAATAGTCTAATTAATTTATATTTACAATAAAAAATAAAACATTAAAATTTAAACTAAATTTACCAAACCACTCAAATACTATTTAATCTGTAAAATCAAAATAAATAGTCCAATAATTTATATTACCCAATAAAAAATAAAAATATAATTTAAACTAAACTTACCAAACTCAAATACAACTTAATATGAATAATCAAATGGGGAAAATGTTACCTCCAACTTCTTACTTTTAGCCTTAAGGCGATCAATTGATTGTCTTAGCTCCTTCACTCAAGTATCAACTTTGGAAATCATGAACTGCAAGAACGAATAGTAGGATTATAACATTTGTATGGACTGAAGTGTTCCATTTTCCGGTGTAAATAAAAAGAAACCGTAGGCAAAATATAATAAAGCAATGATTAAAAGAAAAAAAAATAAAGAAAACCATTAGAAGAGGTATAGAAGGATTCCAGTATATTATGTTGAATCTAACTAAAAAACAAAATTTGCAGGGCCCACAGGCAGCAATGTCCATCACTGGACATTAAAGAATATGGAATTGTTCAATTGCAGACAACATACAATAGAAGGTATATTATTTTCTAGTAGCAAGAACATGTTAAATATCGTAACAAAGCTTAAACTAAACTTACATGGAAAAAAAAAACCCACCATTTCATGTAAGTAAAAGCTTCAGTCATTGAGAAGCAATAAAACGTAATGAAATCAATTAAAAGAGAAAGATAAAGTGCAAACAAGTTGAAGTCTTCCGCAAACACCTAATCTAAAAATAGGAGGAAAACTTAAGACCCCAACAGTTGGTCCACACAGTTTCAATAGCTGTAAACAAAACTTGCCCTTAACAACCAATGTGCAAATTCATAACAGAAAATGTAGTAATTCTAACACTTTTGTATCTCAAAACCTCAATGGAGACAAAGAGAGGGTCAAGTCAACCAGCAAATTCAGTAAATGTGTTGGGGAAGAACACACTATAAGCAGCATAACCTTAAAAAACAAACAAAAGCAATGTTTTTTTGGGACAAACCCCAAAAAGTATAACATAGTAAATAAAGCAAACAACACAAGTTTCAAAGTTGAAGGAAAACTTTAGAAGTAAATATACCAACATGAGAAGGCAAGCATGATACTTTCCAGCCAGAACTAAAGTCTCAGCCAACAAAGATTCCGTTGCAGAACACACCCAGATTCTCTTTTCAATTAGCAAAAGATGTTGAAAAATAGTGAAGATACAGAGAATGAAGGAGAAAGAGAGAGACCTGAGCACAAAGTGGTTTCTGGATATGGGTCTGGGTTCGATTAGGGTAAACCCTAGGGTTTTTGGTTTTCAAATATTGATATTTATCAAGGTCGATTTTTGCTGATTTGGTTTTCAAATATTGGCTTGATTTTTGGGTTTTATAACCTGTATTTCTTTCTCTCATTCACATTGCGTGGGTGGCAACTGACGAGGAGGGACCACAGCTGGACATGCACAGCTGGACATGCACAGCTTCGCTGCTTCCCGGTGCTCCATTATTCATCCCGGTCCCCAACGCATGCATGCATGCAACGCTGTTTTGCACGGCATGCAGCTGATTTTACTGCTTTGGTTCAGAAAATAAAGATGAAGACGCCATGATTTCCCGAGGTCTTCTGAGTTGCCTCAAGATTACCTGAAGACGCCGAGAAAGTCTTCTTGGTTGGCCTAAAGACGCCGAGAAATCGTGAAAACACCATAGTTGGGGAAATAATACGAGAAGTAGATGATTCTGGGGAAAAGATCTCAAACCACATTATTTGGGCAGTTTTGCCGCCTTCTAATTGCCGTTTAAATTTAATTATTTAGTATTTACATTGAATTCAACCAAATTTCATTATTAAAATTAAAATAATTTAAATTTCAATGATAAAAATAATATATAACCTAAGGCTAAATGATATTTGAACAATTTACCCTACCTTTAATTAGCATAGTTTTGTTTATTTTGTAAAATATAATAAAATATATTAATTAAACAAACAAACATAATGCATAATAATTTAAACAAATACATGTATAAATTAATGAGTAAAGTATATACATAGTACCCAATCATAGGACGCTGGTTTGTTGAATCCACAGCCATAAAAAATTATAAAATAATTGTTTGACTATGTGACAATATTTGTCAAGTCCCTGACTATTAAAAGCTACAAATGTCATTTGACTATTAATATGTTTAAAACTTGTAATTTTCTGTAAAAGAAAAAATCAATGATCGTTTGACATGGATGTTAACCTGTTGATTGAGATATGATAAAATCATATGTTAATGATGTCTAGTGGTATCGTCGTTGCTTTCAAGCACTAGCTTGACGACAAAATGTTTCAAGCATTGACTTGTCGACATAATGTAAATGAAGAGTTGATCTACAAAATACAACTCACGATTTTGGTATTAGATTTTGTCATATCTCAGTCAATAAGTTAACGTCAAACTCAGACAACCGCACATTGTTAACATAAAAGTATGAGTATGAAACATATGAATAGTCGGGTGACCATTTCGTAGCTTTAATAGTTGATGACTCAACAAAACAACACCCTATAGTCGAGGGACCATTTTATAACTTTTAATAGTTGGAATACTCAACAAAGTATCTCCCTGTAGTCAATGAACCATTTGTGTAGTTTATCCTAAATTACTTTAGGCATAATGTAAAAATCAGCCCCCAACATTTACTAAAATGGTCATTTTAGCCCCTATTATTTTTTTAAAATATTTTTATCCCAACGTTTCATTTTGGAGCAAAAAACCTTTACTAAAGAGGGAAACCGTTAGTTAAAACACCATTATCGCTCTAAAATAGAGGGGTTTTGCCCCTAAAATAAAACGTTGGGCTCCAAATGTTCTAGAAAAAATGAATAAGGGTCAAAGTGATTATTCTTTTAAATATTAGGGGTCTTTTTGCCCTAAAATAAAACGTTAGGGGGCCGAAATGCTCCAAAACAAGAATATGGGTCAAAACGACCATTTCAATAAACATTAAGTACTAATTTTGCCATTATTTTACTATATAACTCTTTATCCCAACGAACCAAAAACACTATTTAATATTAGACCTGGCAAAGTTGACTCGTACCCGATTACCCGAACCGATTTACCCGATTCGAGACCCGATATAGACCAAAATATGATGACCTAAAATTGATCTGAAACCCGAAATGAACCGAATCGAACCAAAATCGACCCGAATTTTTGTTGAACCGAAAACCATCCGAACCGAAAGTAACACGAACCAATAGCAACCCGAACCAAAATCAACCCGAACCGAAATCACCCAAACCGAAAACAACCCGAATTTAATTTACCCATATTCGATCCAAACTTTACTTCGACCTGATTTTAACCCGATAATTAAGTCTAAGTAAATGAATAATTTATTATTATTATTACTATTAACTTGATAAATAATAAAATGATGCATATTTATTCTCATTTTGTATTATACTACTAGTTAAACCATTAGTATATCACCTTTAGTAATAATCAAATGGTTCAATAAATTCTTTCATAAATATGATTATGGGATCTTGGTTAATTTTAAAACCAAAAAAGAATATGAAAATGTTGAAGATATTGCAGATAGATATGAACTTAACAGGGAAAGCAACTGGGTTAAATTGCCAAGCTCTGAAGGGACTGCACCTGTTAAATTGTTTATGCCTAAGCTACTGTTGAATTGTTCAAACAAAAGGCGTTAGTAATAATTCAAGTTCCTTTCATATAAATGAGCTCAACAGTAGCAGTTTAAGAGAGTTACAGGTATTGCATCTTCGATAGTTGTCCGATTTCGGCCGGAACAGAACTGTTCAACACATTCTGACCGAGGTTCCTGCATCAAAGTTGACATATCAGATCAATCTAAAACAATGGCTAAAACAACGGAATCAAAGTTCAAAAATTTCGGTCTCATACAAGTCCATTAACTCCTTAAGCTCAAACAATTCTTTGGGTATCTCACCCTTGACATCCAAAGCATAAATCTTCCTGCAGATGTTTAAAACAAGTTCAGGTCAATAAACCCAAAACAGCAAACAAAAGAAATGAATCATGGTGATGCTTGTAAGCTGACAAATGAGTGATGTGGCATGGATTGCTGGAGCAGTCACAGGCAACACGAGGGTTAGAATCCTCAGTGGCCCATGGTGCAGTTTGGTTGCAAGGGTCCATTGTTAGATTGATCTTACTTCCAAGGTTCCAGTAACTTATGATCGTTCTAAGGGCAGCCACTGAGAAAGAAAAAAGCAGATCAAAACATGTATGAAAACTGCAGATCGTTCTATAAAAGATAAATGGTTTTTTGCATATAGACCTTCATTTGGATCAGTGGTTTGTTGTGCAGAAACAAGACGAAGCAGCCCAAGAATCAGCAGAGTAAAGCTGAGGAACCCCATGGCGAGTAGCAGTACAAGACGTGTATGAACTGATGCATAATATATACACACTTTTAGTCCAAGTGATGGGACATGTAAGGAGAAAGAGATGGATTAAAAGTAAGGCCGGCCATACAATTTACAAAGGAAAGAAAATTAAATGAAGGAGAAAGAGATGGACGAGGAAGATTCTTACAACAATGGAAGAACAAGGAGAATGAAGGCTAAGCAGTCATTGTTTGAGGAGGCTTCTTTTGACTGCCCGGATTCAAGGGTATTATTCTGTAATATAAAAGCGTAGAACAAAAGGGTTAATCAGGTTGTGTTACCACTTTGTTGTGAGGGAGAAAAGCTAATGCTTGTGCTTTAGTTCTTGTCTTAGCTTCTTTGACGTTGACATAACAACTAATCTTTGTATTGACTTTCGACCAATTCTCTGCGGATTCATTGGTGACAATTGAAATCAACTAGATAAGGTTAAAATGCTACCACAGGTTTTAACTCTTTGTCGTTGGAACTAAACTAGACTTCTTTGACTATGATCAAACAGTATATATTTTGATAATCTTACATAAAACTGTTGATTGCATTTTTTAGGTTTAATAGGTTGTTCAAATCATTTTAGAAAATAAGTAATATGAGCTTTATATTTTTTATAGCAATACGAGTTTGGTTCCCTTCCTCTTACACGAACCTCTTTGCTTTACATGGTACTATTATGTTTCGATCTGTTGGATAATTGTTTACTTATTGCAGTGATCAAGATTTCCCCCCCCCCAGTGTTTTCTTGATACTTGGCTGATAAAAAATGGTTCTTTGTCTTGCTCCCTGAAAGCTCGTTACGCGCAGTGAGTTCCCATGTACACTACTCTTAGGCGAACTATAGTTGTGTTTGCCATGATTGTGATATTTTTATATTTTTTATTGATATTCGTTCGGTTAGAATTTTATAATGGTCTACGCCCGTCCCTGGTGAGTTCCTTCTTGCAGGACAGAACTCAGAAGTATTCTTCATCTTCTATGGTTGGAAGGTAAATGTAATTCAATTCGCTTTCATGCCGTTGCTTCTCATAGGAAATGTTATATTGTTGAAAATCACCGGATTCTGGTCTAGTGCCTCGCCTGAAAGGAGTTCTTTGCTGAATATCTTGAGAGCAAAACGTTTTTACATTCATGGATACATTCCATAGAGTAAAAAAGAATCAAATAAAAAATATGACTAAAATAATTCAATTTTTTAAATGATTAATGAATTGATTTTTAAGTTCGATTTAATTTTTGGTCCTATCGAATAACCTCCTAAACATAGCTAATATGGAAAGATAACGAGAAACGCACATTCCATTATTCTCTCTTTGAATCTCCAACGACCGACAGATCGTCCCTGTTCCCAAAGAATCAAAATGAGTTGAGCCTTTGACACCTGGTTTTTCCAGAGACAAAACCGGATATTCTCTCACGCTACCTCTTTTTCTCTTTCCCCATTACCCTCTTTTCGTCTGTTTTCCTCCTGTTTTTTTGACAGATTGACAGCATGTTGAGACTCAAAGTGGAGGAAAATTCAACTTCGAAGCTGCCGTCGATGCCATCCCCGGCGGTTGACAATGGTTCTTCTCGGAAGACTTTCCATTATTCGAAGCTTCCCGAAGAAACCGTCACCTCTGCATTCGCAAATTGGATGGCTCTTCCTTTGGTGCTTTTCCTACTTCCTTGCCCATCCCAAATAACATTGGGTTTCCATTAACATCTATTTTTTTCCGGCAGATGTCGAGGTTTTAAAGTCGGCTACCGTTGCAGATCTCAAGCTAGGGGTGCAGAATGTTTTTGATCATATGCCAAACGATGGTCCCGACAAGATTTCATGGTAACTTCATGTTTCTTATCATATGTTTTTCTTGCATGTTATCCATCGGTACGTGTTGTTGACATTGAGTTGCTTGGTTGTGACATGGATTCATATGAATCTGCATTTTGGGACATGGAGGATACATGTCTGGGGACACTTCTGCTTGTCTTATGGTGATCAGAAGTTGATCCAAGACACCGACCTGATCGTAAACTATGGCATCAAGGATGCCGATCAGGTTCGTACCATGTTTCCTCTTCTCTTACAACATCATATTTCTGTCCCCACAATTACCTGCATTGATCTCTTCTTCTTCTTCTTCTTCTCTCTCTTCTTCTTCTTCTTCTTCTTCTTCTTCTCTTCTTCTTCTTCTTCCTTTCCTGTTCTCTTCAGCTTCATTTCATTAGACATGTGTCCACCAGCACCAACTCGATAAAGATTCCGAAAAGTAAAGAGACTGTTCCTCAAAACCATTCATATCAGTAAGCCTCTCTTTTATTAACCCTGTTTTAACACTAACATGAACTCGACATGGGAAGATGATGAAGCTGCTTGGGAAATTGCAGGCTGTTGGTGGATGAACTTGAAGATGAGAAGAAGAAGAAGACATTTACGAGGTAATAAAAGAAGGAAGATGTGGTGGGTTATGGTCGTCGTGTTCAAAGTGTTCACCTTTTAAAGAATAAAGATACGGAAACTTTCAGAAACGGATCAAGTCGGTGTGCTTTCTGGTGAAAGTTTCAAACCAAAATCTTCATAATTTGGTACCACTATTTGATTCTCAATATGCTGTCATATTTAAATATAAAATACGTTTATATTATTAGGAACAAAGACCAGAATTAACATATCAACATAAAATAAAGTAGAACCTTAAGCACAAATTTATCATATAAATATCTTTATCTTCAAGAAGAAGAAGAAAACGTCAATCCCAGAAGAAAAACACTAATCAATTATATATTATATAGATCAACTGTCAATGAATAATCACATATTAATCTTGTTATCGTTAAACCGTTCAAACAATGAATATTGATGGGTTAACAAAATAAAAATAATTATTTTTTTATTTTTAAATGAAGGTATAAATATTATTTTAATGAAACTAACACAACTAAGATGTCTAGATCGTTAACCATGTTATTGACCTCCTTATAAGGGAATAAGGGTTTAAATCTCATTATCCTCACAAATTAATTTCTCTTGACTTTATTTAACCAACACGTAATTAAATTGCTGATAATAAATAAAAATTAAAAGATAATAAAAAATTATCATATAAAAATGATTTAATAATAAAAAAACACTAGGATGATCAAATAGAAAGTTGTATTTTCTCCTCAATTTGTGTGGCAAATAATGAGATAACATTCTGCAAAATTTCACACTCATCGTCATCTCCAAACAAAATTGGAAAAACCCATTCTTTTTTTCTGCAATTTAAACCGAAAATTACAAACAAACAAAAAAATCCCACCTTAGACATCCCAAAAGCTCAAAAGACTCGCCATTTCCCTCATTTCATCAAAAACCAGAAGCCATGGCCAGCATGATAATGGCTTCCTCAAAACCTGTGACCACCATTGTTGCTTCATCTTCCTTCCCTTCAAAACCCAAACTTCAGAAAACTCCACAGCTTTCCTTTCCCAAAATCCCCATTCCAAAGTTCTTAAAAGCCCAACAAATCCCCACTCTCAAATCCATCTCCATCTTCACACTCACCTCTTTGTCCTTTGCCCCACCTTCACTTGCTGCAGAGATAGAAAAGGCTGCACTTTTTTATTTCAACTTAACTCTCCCAATCATGATGGTTCAGTTCTTGCTCCTCATGTTTGCTCTCGACAAGGTCTACTTCACCCCCTGGGGAAATTCATGGACGAGAGAGATGCAGCCATAAAGAAGAAGCTTTCCGGCGTGAAGGACACGTCTGAGGAAGTGAAGCAGCTTGAAGAACAAGCCAATGCTATCATGAGAGCTGCAAGGGCAGAGATTTCAGCCGCTTGAATAAGATGAAGAAAGAGACTCAGTTGGAAGTTGAGCAGAAACTGGCTGAAGGAAGGAAGAAAGTTGAGGCTGAATTGCAGGAGGCTTTGGCTAATTTGGAGAATCAGAAAGAAGAGACCATTAAGTCACTTGATTCCCATTGCTGCTCTCAGTCAGGACATTGTCAACAAGGTGCTTCCTCTCTAAATTTCACATATTTATAGCATTGGACGACTCTATGTACTTATTGAAATCTGAACCCTTTGTTTTTCTTTCTTTCCTTTTATTTATGGGTTATTCATAGGGTTGCTTGATTATATTCCGAGTTAAGTTCATCTATGAAACTAGTTTTCTCAAGTGAGAATCAATTTGGGTTGGGGGGATTGTACTTGTTCAGTTTCTTCAAGGAAACCTGTTATACTCCACACTTGTATCTATTGAAGTTTAAGAGGAATTCTTTTGTTGATCGAAGTCTCCAAATTTTCTGGAAGCCTCCAATCAATTACAATTTCTTAAAATGATTATTGATAAACTCATCTAATTTGTTAGAGTTAAATCCGATATCCGATAGTCATATATTTTTATCTTGTTAGTTTAAGTTTAACATTAATCTAACATAAAAATCACCATCTATGATTAGAGAATAAATCCTGAATCGATTTCTCTCCACATATTGTATATCATCTTCTTCAATTTATCAGAATCACCAGTTTTACTCTCCACCTAAATTTGAAAAAAAAAGGCATCATCCATGACTAGAGATCTTAAACTCTCAATTTCTCTCTTCACAAATCGTGTATCATCTTCTTCAGTTTATCAAAATTACCGGTTGTGACTCTCAAAATTTAAAAATTAACTGCCTACAGCTGCCGCAATCCTACATTTCCCCTCGACAAAACCAAAGGATTTATAATATGCTTTGAATATCACAAGCAGCCGCCATTGGAGCAAGAGAAATTGATTCCTTTGAAGGGGGTTACTGTCACTTTCCAGTGATAGCCATTGGTGAAAGTTGAACATTAGCCAATGAATATGGGAGAAAAAACAGTTTCAAAACTAATGCCGACTGCTTTTGCTGCTTCTTACTTTAATGAAAATGATCGACAAAAGGTAATATTGTTCCATCAGCCAACTGGTAGTTGTGGAACAAAGGGCCAAGAATCAATGGAGCACGCTAACTTGGCTTCTCTTGCAATAGGTTGACGCCAATCATTCCTGCAGACAAGCTGTATAAACTTCAACAGCACAACGTTTGATAATCAACTGAATTTATACAAGCTCACCAAGAACAATTGCAGCATCAAAGATCACAGTTGTATGCATCCATTTTCTCTTCCACAGAATGCGCAAGAACAATACCTCAAAATCGACAATGAAGTGTTCAACCATGTTGGAAAATGGAAAGTCTTATATGCGTGCAAGATAGCTACAAAATATTTAGATAATCCTCCAAATAATTCATGAGACATGGCCTACGTCAATTCCATAAAACTCGGGTTTTTTATCTGTTCAAATCAAGTCAACCAATAAGTATGCAAGGGAAGAGACATCCTAATAATACGTACTCCAATGAACATCATCTAGTTTCCTTTTGCAAAATTATACGAAATGTAAAAGGTAATTACAAATTAAAAGTAGAAATGAACATCATCTAGTTTCCTTTTGCAAAATTATACGAAATGTAAAAGGTAATTACAAATTAAAAGTAGAAAATAGCTTAATATAAAAGTTACCAAAACTATTGAATACAGAACTCTGGTTTAAGGTTTTATAGAATCAAAATTTACATAAAAATAAAACACCTTAAATATGTTTATAACATGATAAAATACATGACATGATACAAGTACACAAATTGCCTAAGTCTACTTCAGAGAAAGGGACAAGAAGTTCATGGAGTTCAACTCAGCAAAAAAGTACAGTAAGTTTCGACATCTGCATGATCGATGAGAACATGATTAATGATCAAGATGCAAGCAGCTAACCTACAACCCGAATTTCTGCTTAGCTGAACAAGCTACCTCCCTGATGCCACCCTCTCACTGCGAGTGAAAACAGTCACATATTTAGATGCAACATCAGGTCAGGAGCTTTAACTTCGCAGGTGTGCACCAGCAAGTCCAGCATCTTTCACTAGCTGCTCTGTCAAAGCTGAAAGCCTAGCTACTCCTGTTTTAACTTCAGTGAAACTTTCGTCGTTCTTGATCATAGGATCGGAACAACTTTGCAGTAAGATACTGGTATCAGAATCGGCCTCAACACTTGTGCTAGCTTTAATCAAAAGTTCATGGCTCATTTCAGCAAGTTTTTGAAGAGCGCTTGTGGCAGCTTCAACTTCCAGTTCAGCTGCCTCAAGTTGCAGCTTCTCAATGGCCAAATCACCAATACTTCTCTCCCCAATTCTCTCTTGTGCCAAAGCATAAAGCTTCTTCATATCATTGGCATCTTCAATCATTTCTTCCTTCAACCTTTTTAGTTCTTTTTCTCTGGCTTCCAACCTCCCAAGAACTGTTTTGAGCTCCTCATCTTTTATTGTGAGGACCCTCTGTGCAACAAGAACTTCCATTTCTTTTTCTTTTAAGGTCTCTTTAGTCAATTTGAGTTCGGTTTCAAGCTGTTTCTTCTGCAATCTGGAATCATTAGAAGGTCTATCTACCAGCTGATGCATTAACTCATGGCCAATATCATCAACAGGCCTCAACAAATTGTTATCTTCATCCTTAACAGAGGTAACTAGTCTGCTCGTGAGTTCTGCAATTCGTTCTATCACAGTTTCAGCTTCAGAGAACTTCATCTTTGTATCACTCAACTCATCTTGTACTCTCAGAACATATTCGTCTTCTCCTTCAATAAAGCAGTTGCTTGAGTGAGCTGATTTTCTTTACTGCTCATAAGCATCTTTAGCTCTGCAATCTCCTGATTTAACTGTTCTAACTTCTTTTGGCATCGGAGAGTTCCTGGTTTTTCTCCTCCAAGATAAGCTGCACAGAAGCTTGCTCAGATTTCAGATGCTGGATTTCTAGTTTAGCCTCTACCAACTCCGCTTCTTTATTTTGCAGAACATTGCTCATATCACCAAACTCAGCATTCTTCTGCTCTAACTGCTGTCGAAGAAAAGAGGCATCCTGGATAGCCTGCTGAAGTGAAGATTTCTCTTTCTTCAGTTCCTCCTGTAACTCTTCTAGTAGTTCCCTTTCCACGGATAAATCTCGTTCAAGATCCTTATTCCCAGCCTCTACAACCCTAAGCTTCACTCTTTCACTCTCTACTTCTATCTGGGCATTTTTCAAACTTTCCATGTATGATGCAACACTTGTCCTCTGTTCTTCAAGCTCTTCAAGTTGCCTTTTCAATAACTGTTCTTGTTGTTCCATTTGCTGTCTCGAAGATGCTAGAGATTTCTGAGAAGAAACCAACTCGGACCTAACATCAGCAAGTAGTTGCTTCACTCTGGTGAAATCGTTAAAGGTCTCATTAGCTTCTCCCATGTGCTTAGATGCTTCTTCTGCGAGTTTCTTCAGTTCTTCTTGGGCTGATAACCACTCCATGGTCTGCTGCTCCAATTTAGACTCAGCAATTTTCAGCTTCTCCTCTTCAAGTTTCCTAAGACTCACGGACGTTTCTAACTGCTCTTCTTTCTCCTGAATTGCTTCTCGGAGTTCTCGAAGCTCGATTTCTTGTTTCTTCACAACTTCGTTGGCTTCATTCAGGATCTGAGACTTTGATGCAAGTTCAGATCGGATCTTCTC